GCAACAGATAAAATGCCGTTAACCACAACCTTAACATTTTCAACATTATCAGCCTTTCCAAAGTCTTGAGCTAAAATTGCAGGGAGAGAAACCAGAAAGAGGACCAAGGAGAGACGGAATTCCATTGGAACTTCAGTTGCAGCAGTCCCGCCACCAACTCAGTCAATTCAAATTAACTGCAACAGGAGAAAGATAAACCTTTGAATGAGAAGCATAGCAGATAGTGTGTCGTGCCACTTGACATATTCCTAAAGGACATGATTCTCAGCTTCTATAGAGCATAGAAAAATCAGTGTAAGCAAAAATGTATCATTGAAAAACTGCAAGAGAAAGAAAGGCATCATCTTTCGGACACGAAAGTAATTTCTTGAGTAAAGATTTCCGGAGGAAGATCCCGTGATAATTAGATCACCGGAAATTCCAAATTCTTGAGTATATACATATATTTGAGAATCAGAACACTACCAAAGAACTAAGCCAATCCAAACTGGGGATGCCGGATAGCATATATATATATATATGCTTTACAATGGTGGCATTGCCATAAATGAACTTTTATTCGGATTAATGTCGTTACCTGCTGTAACAGCAAGGCACAAACATTTGAAGTTGCATTAGGTGAAGAGAAATGAATGGATAACGCGCGCACACACACACATATGAAGAAGAAGGGCATTTCACCAACAAAATTCAAGAGTATACACAACCCAATTGAGAATTATCACAAACAAAAGCAGATTTTCCTTGGAGACTTCAGATTCAAGGACAAATCAGTATGTGAAGAACTAAAACGAACCAACCCAGATAACATATGATCAAAACAAATCAAACCCATGTCAAAACCAAGCTCAAAGATTGAAAATTTACCATCAACAACGCGCCATTGATGAAGCTCGAGCTCAAAGCAAATGCACATCAATCCTTGAATGCTTTTCAGCTAATCAAACCAGCTTTCTCAGTCCCCAATCGGAGTTGTTGGCATTGCCGGGCGATTCAAAGACAGAGAAACTGCGTTATGTGAGATGGGTCTGCCAAAGTTTTAGATTGAGGTGCATATGAACTGTTCATATCATGTGAGGCCATGGCACACTGATGCGGTGTACTGTCGACAAAAAGACAAGGAAAAGACAGATGATTTGATGGGAGTAGATTAAGAGTTAAGTACAATAATTAGAGGAAAGGTTAAGATCTTACAGAGTATAATCATATTTATTAATTCTTAATTAGAGGTGAAAGTGAGAGCTTTTGGTTGGATTTGCGTGCAAATTTTATTAGCAGATATTCCCTTCACTCTGTTGAGGCTGTTGAGCTTGGACAATGATTGTGCTCTCATTTCTGATGTCCTCCGTACTTTTTTATTTTGTGTGGTCATAGTTAAGTCACATTAATATTTTATATTGTTTTTTTATAGAGATAATAAGACAAAAACAAATAATAATATAAAATGTTGATGTGGCTTAACCGTGACCATACAAACAGGAAGACATAGAAGAGTACCGAAAGTGGAAGGGCAGACAATTCTTGTCGTTTGAACTTATCTTTTGTTTATTAGCAGATATTCTGGAGGGTAGGTTTTTTAAGTTGAATTATTTTACTTTCATCTTTGAGAGATAGAGGCTTAAGTCAAAAGTGGTAAAACGAGATCTACGAAGGTTTTGAAAAAGACTTCAGGAAAAGGTACATAGTATTTGAAGTTAAAAGAAAGATTTGATACAAAACTGAACGCAATGTCGATTTAGAATTCATAAAATGGATTCCGCTTAATATAATAAAGCTTGATTTTTGTTTTCTTTATTTTCGAGAGGCTTTATCTTTACTCATATGTAAAGTGATGCCAACACCAAATGTTCTCCTAGAATAAAGGTTTGTGTAGGGATCCTTTCCATATTCCTTCCTCCTAATCTATTAAGTTCGGAAATTCGAGTTGTTTAAATTTGATCAAACGGCTAAAGTTATTATAAATTTTAAAATAGGCTCCTATTTGTAGTCGTTTGATCAAATTTTAACAATCCAGATTTCCAAATTTAATGGATTAGGAGAATGGGATCCGAAGAGGATGCATTTCCTAAAAGGTTTTTGCTTTTGTTTTAGGGAATGTTTTTAAGTTTTTAGTATTTTATGATTTTGACCGTGGTTTGACCAAAGTTAGGGAGTTCGTTTGGTGTTGATTCTCTTAAAAAGCATTTTTGTTCATAAGTGCTTGTAGTGAAACTGTTTTTTAATTAAAAATTCACAAGTGCTTCCTAATGAAGTAATTGGCATGTACTGCTTTTTTAAAAAAGCTTATACACGGCAAAATAGCCACAAATGCTCTTAATTGTTAGAAAATACATTTGTTTGTTCTAAAATGAATCTTAAACGCACTTTACTTTTTTTGCGCTTCTTGTTCATATATGTAATTGTGAAAAGTTAAGATTATGTGTAACTCGTGTAATCTCTTTGTAATTCCAAGCTACATTCTATTTCAAGTTTCAACTCGAACTTATCTTATTTATTATGCCATTTAAATTTTGAAGTTACATAAAAATTTGGCACTCAGGCCTCAACTAACCTAAAATTACACTAAATTTTGGCAGTCAAAGCCACTTAAATATGGACTTAAATTGAGAGAGTCCAAAAAAATGGCCTAACAAACAAAGCTGAATCCAATTTTTCGATATACCAAAAATTTCGGTTCCATTTTTTAAATAACCGAAACTTTAGTTTGGTTTTTGGTTTGACATTTTGGAAAGCAGCCATAGTCTTTATTGTGGATATTATTAGGTGCAAAACTAGGCGGAATACTACTGTTATTAATTATTGTTAGAAAACCCATACAAATAGGCCAAATTGGATTAATGGTCATTGTCCACTGCAAAGATTTTTCTTTTAAGTGGTGATAATATTCATTATTCTATGTTCATTCAATATTAATTTTCAAGTGTAATCCCGTAACTATATTTCTAAGTTCGTTTAAGTTCATGCTAAATTCGTAAGTACTAGTCAGTTGAATTGATTAAAATGCACATTTAAATATAATACGTCCAAGAAAATTGTCATTCAGTACTACGGTCTGGTGGTATTCCTCTTCACTTGGAAGTGAGAGATCTTAGATTCTAATCTCATGGATGGCAAATTAGATACCAAATTAGATTGTCAATTGTGTGGCTTAGCCGAACTCTCTCTTCCCTTAATGAGGGGTGTGATATCCACACATATTTTTTTACTACTTCTCACATACTTTTCTTATTTTTGACACACCCCTTTTTGTAATCTTTCCATTAACTAAAACGTATCCTTTATAAGCTAGAGTATTCTGTGTTGAATCTTCACTACGTATAAGCTTGTGAGTTGTGAAATATTTTTTCCATTGAAAAATAATATAAAATAAAATGATGGCTTACACTGGGTTTAAGTATTTTGTATGGATGATCAAGTAGCTAATGGAAATTTAAAGTTTTTACTTTTCACGATAACTGGTACACCAGAGGTGCGTCATTCCCATCCTCTCGTTCTAGGGGGAAAGGTCCTCGCAATGCTCAAACGCCTCACATATAATACTGATGAAATATGAACACTACCAGTAACGAATACTATGAAATGACTTTCAAGTTAATCTCCTAGAGATGAACACCCCAACTGGATTTTTAAGTTTTTATTTTATTTTTATTTTTTATGCATGTGATACTGATCATCTGAGAGGTACGAGGGTGATATAGGCTGTCACACGACCAGGTTGTGGATGTTTTTGTGGAGCTGTTGAAGTCTGGTATCGAAAAAAATGCAGCAGAACAAGTTGCAAATTGAAGTCATCTGATTTCACAGATGAGCCTGTTGACGATGATGAAGACGAGGATGTTGAGCATTTCGTAACTGAGGCTGGAGAGTGTTGCATTCTCTCCCAAACACTATGAGGACGACCACCATGTCCGCGCCAGTTTTCTGCGCGAAAGCGTTGCGAGGAGGTTTCTTCCGCCGGAATCAGATCAATCAGAAGGTGGGAGAGGCTGAAGATGGAGGTTTTGCTGCCTTTGAACTACGTAATACATTCGTCAATGCAAATTTTGGGTAATTCGGTGGAGACCGAATACATCAAACACATTGCATGCAGTACTTTTAACATGTCTTTTCTGGGTTTCATTTAAAGAGAGGATGCATTAATTACTATACAATTCAGTGAATTCACAGAGTAAATTATGAATGTTTTTGTCCTACTTCTTGAACATGATTCAGTTGATTATGTTGGATTTAGAACCCTGATGTTCCTATGCTCACATTGGAAACCGATCTGGATGCACTACGCTTCAATGTTATACACGTTGTCTAATTTTGTCAAGGACTATGTTAGTGTGCTAATGTAGAACACGTATGACACCTAAAATGCTAATAATACGACACCACCTGATGTTACTAATTAAAGAAAGTTCAGTAGATATTATCATCTATACATCGGATAATCCAATCCAACTGGTTATTAATAGGCAAATCCAAAGTTTTACCAATTATTAATGGTCAGCAGTTCAAATTACTTATTTCTCCGAGATCAAAGTGATTTTCCTCATTTTTCCCAATAAGTCGACGTCGTTACACCATTGAGATACTTTGAATAAACTAGAGTACATATAGGATACACCAGTGCTAAAACATTTTCTCAAGATATCTTTCAAATTGTTGAGGTCATTGCTCCTGATGTTGTTCCTCCGGTGTGAAACCAGTTGGTTTCGTAGTTTTAGAATTCTACTAATTCCTTATGTGTATTTTGGTATGCTATGTCAAATCAAATCATTATTGGATTAAATTACCTCAAATCCATATTTGAATTGTTAAGCAAATGGATTATAAACTACAGTGACGAATAAGCTAAGTCTTATAATGCATATGTCGTAATAATATGGTTCAACTTCGCTGGCTAGAGTCGAACATAAAAATTGGAACAAACACAATTGTACATTTGTACTCCATGGGCAAACCAGTAAATTAACTTGTTTGCACAAGTGCTCTCTCTCCCTCACCGACTCTCATCTCACTCTTCTTCTTCTTCCCTCCCTTCCCCAAACCAAAAAACTATATATAAAAAAAAAAATCTTTTATTCAAACTCGCCAATCTCTCCAACACAAAAGTCAAAATTCCACATTCCCAATTTCCTTCTAAATTCCATTTCCCCAGAGTTTCTGTTCCGTCTGAGCTGTCATCTCCCTTTACACTACCGAAAATCACTTTCCCAAATTGTCTCATCAAACAAAACAATCAAAGTTCCAAACTTTCCCAAATTTTTCTTTGAATTAAATCCTTTTCTTTGATTTGGGGATGAATTTAATTGGGATTTGATCAATTGGGAAATGGAGAACAGTGGAGAAGCAGCAGATGATGAGGGCTCTGGATGGTTCGAAGTGAAAAAGGTGCAGACTGTTTGCTCATTTTTCTTCAATCAATGGAATGTTGCAGATTTTGATGGATTTTGATTATTGTATTTGTTTCTGATAATTAATTGGTTAAAAGCAATTATCTTTGGATTATAGTCGTTGAAATGCATGAAACCCAGAAACTGTTTGCTCTAATTAGTAATTACCATTTACCAAGTTTATCTTTGCATATCAAGATTTTATTTCTCAGATTTTATCTCTGTAAGTGGAAATTGGAGCAATGAAATCGATTGCGTTTTTGTTCGTATGTGATGTGACATTTTCGCTCTACTGGTAGATAGATATCAACCGAAATGTTGCAGATTTTATATGTTTTTTTCCGGATAGTTATCGATCAATTCCGGTGTCACTGACGTGTTTTGGAATTTTGGTTTTTAACTTGTTTGTGTCCTGTGTAGAAAAACAGAAGTAGCTCAAAGTTCTCTCTACAGAGTTGGGTTGGGGGGTTTTCTGGAAAAAATGCTTCTAACCATTCGAGTAGTCGGACCTCTACAAGTGAAAGCAGTGGTTATTCTCGGGACAAGCGCAGATCCCAGCCTCCAAAGGCACCGGGAAATTATGGTGTATATAGCCGGGGAAGTGATGCGAATTCTATTGCTGTCCCAAATGAAAAGAAACCGGGTGCTCCCTATCACGATATCTGTGTTATTAAGCAAGATACTGGATGTCCTAAGCCACCTCCTTCCTTTGTTACAAATTCTGATGATGGAACTATAGATGCTGAGAAATCCCTGCAAACGATAACTCTGAAGTAGTTGCTAAAATCAAGTGGGGGGATCTCGAGGGCGATGGTTTGGCACTCCCTTGTGCTAACCTTGTCGGTGCCAAAATCAAGTTTGGTGCTATCGGAGATGATAATCTGGTGGTCTCGAGTGAGCATGGAAATGGTCATAAGTTTGTTTCCTCTACAAATTTACAAAAAAACACATTGGTTGCAGAATCTGTGGATGCTAAGGACCAATTATGTGAAGATAAATGTAAAGAGGTGAATATAATCTCTTCTGAAAAGACTGAAGAGCCAATTTTGAATGAAAAAAGGCTTGATCTTGATAACAGTACTTCGAATTGCAAGGATATAGATACTGAACACGTTGAAGTAGTAGCTGATGATGGTTTAAGTGCCAGTCCTTTAGCTGGTGAAGAGGCTGCGACGGTGGAGAAATGTCAGACACCTGTTGTTCTACCTGAGGTAGGTGACCATGAAATTCCTGAAGTATCAGTGATAACTGGGGATTCAATTGAAGTTCATGTTTCCGAAGATAAAGGGTTAATTCCACCAAAGAGGGATCATGGAATTTCTGAGGTGTCTACTTACACAGCCTCCGATGAGGACCATGAGGGTACACAATGTGGTATGATACATGATATGTCAAACTCACAAAATATGAGTGCTCTTGGAGAATGTGACACAGATGAAAGCAAAGAAAGGTTTAGGCAGCGGCTTTGGTGCTTTCTTTTTGAGAATCTCAACAGGGCTGTGGATGAACTTTATCTTCTTTGCGAACTAGAATGCGATGTAGAGCAGATGAAAGAGGCAATTCTTGTTCTTGAAGAGGCTGCCTCTGATTTTCGAGATCTAAGCACTAGAGTGGAAGACTTTGAGGAAATAAAAAGGTCGTCATCCCAGATAATTGATGGTGTGCCCATTACCTTGAAGAGCGACCACCGTAGGCCGCATGCTCTCTCATGGGAGGTAAGCGGGCTCTCATATACTTCTAACAATGTGACAAATCAACTTCTAATATAACTGTTTGGTCATTGCTGCATGCAGGTTAGAAGAATGACAACTTCAGCACACAAAGCTGAAATACTATCGTCATCTTGAGGCGTTTAAGAAAATTCAACAAGAAAGAGCTAGCTTGTGTGCAACTACTGATGATAAACTTTTGGGGCCTCAGTACCTAAATCTCCGATGTGGTGATAAGCTGAATAAGTTATCTGCCATAAATGATGGGAAATTTAATACTAAAGATTCAATAAAGAAGTCAGGAAAGCAGAATGGAGGTTCGGATCTTGCTGAAGCTGACATAAATGGAGGAAAAGGCAATACTGAGTCAAGCTGTTCGAGCAAACAAACTTGGTACAAAGTGCACGTGCCCCGCATAATGCATCTTCCTCTGTTGTTAATGCATCTAGGCTGCCTCCTAGGGATAGTTCTGCTGCTGGAAAGACTAAGAGTAAACAGTTTGGATCCGAAGCCGAGAGGCTGCTCCCTAAGAAAGATAAATTGTCAACAGAAGGTGGTGTTGAAAAATTCCCCAGATTGACGGATCAATCCAAAAAGGAAATTCCTCTATTTGAGAAAGATAAAGAAAAGAGGAACTCAGCTCCATGGAAATCTATGGATGCTTGGAAAGAGAAGAGGAACTGGGAGGACGTACTTTCCTCTCCTTCCCGTGTCTCTTCTCGTGTTTCACGTTCACCTGGAATGAGGAGGAAAAGTGCTGACCGTGCACGTATGCTGCATTATAAACTAATGTCTCCTGAGAAGAAGAAGAAAACTGCTCTCGATCTGAAGAGAGAAGCAGAAGAAAAACATGCTCGTGCTCTGAGAATTAAAAGTGAGCTAGATAATGAGAGAGCTCAAAAACTTCATCGTAATTCAGAAAAGGTGTATCGAGCTAGTGAATTTCACGTTGTTCGCAACATGAAGTTACGTGAAGGAATATATGCTCGTCATCAACGCAGCGAGTCTCGCCACGAAGCTTTTCTGGCTCAAGTTGTAAAGAGAGCTGGTGATGAAAGCAGTAAAGTTAATGAGGTTCGTTTCATAACTTCCTTAAATGAAGAAAATAAAAAACTTAGTTTGCGCCAGAAGCTTCATGATTCAGAGTTGAGGAGAGCTGAAAAACTTCAAGTGATAAGAACTAAACAGAAAGAGGATATGGCAAGAGAAGAAGCTGTTTTAGAACGGAGGAAACTCATCGAAGCTGAAAAGTTGCAGCGTCTTGCTGAGACACAGAAAAGAAAGGAAGAGGCTCTAGTTAGAAGAGAAGAGGAACGCAAAGCATCAAGTGCAGCCCGTGAAGCAAGGGCCATGGAACAACTTCGTAGGAAGGAGGAAAGAGCCAAAGCTCAGCAGGAGGAGGCTGAACTTCTGGCCCAGAAATTGGCTGAGAGACTTAGTGAAAGTGAGCAACGCCGAAAGTTTTACCTGGAGCAGATACGAGAGAGAGCTTCTATGGATTTCAGGGATCAATCTTCGCCTTTATTCCGCCGAACTCTGAACAAGGAGGGTCAGGGAAGATCTTCATCGGTCAACAATGGTGATGAGTATCAAGGGACCAACTTCTCAGGCTTAGGAGGTTCTACTATTGTGGCAAGCAATGTTACAGCACAGCATTCAATGAAGCGGAGAATCAAAAGAATTCGGCAAAGACTTATGGCTCTAAAATATGATTTTCCCGAGCCTCCTGCTGGTGCTGAAAATGCTGGCATTGGATACAGAACGGCTGTGGGAACTGCAAGGGCAAAGATTGGAAGATGGCTTCAAGAACTTAAAACACTCCGGCAGGCAAGAAAAGAAGGGGCTGCAAGTATTGGGTTAATAATTGCTGAAATGATCAAGGTAATTAAGTTCAATAATTACAAGTTTTTATACTGTGTAGCCAGATACGGGATGCTAATGTCCTGAATTGGTACTCTGCATTTAACATGGGATTAGTGAGTATTTTTTCTCACTAAAAAAGTTGCTTATTATGTTGTACTATTTTATCAATCTGTGTGCTTGGAAATGCCTTATGGTTATATGACAGAACACTGGCTTTTAAGTTTCTACTCTTTGGAATGGTTATGGTGACTTCTACACTGATCCTGATTTCCTTTTTTGTGGATATAGTATTTGGAGGGAAAGGAGCCTGAACTGCAGGCTTCCCGCCAAGCTGGTTTGCTTGATTTCATAGCTTCTACTTTACCTGCTTCTCATACATCAAAACCTGAAGCCTGCCAAGTGACAATACACCTTTTAAAGCTTTTGAGGGTAGTGTTATCAGTGCCTGCAAACAGGAGTTATTTTCTCATACAGAATCTCTTACCTCCTATCATCCCGATGCTGGCAGCAGCCCTCGAGAGCTACATAAAGATGGCAGTATCCTTGAACCTTTCGGCTAATGTTAATTCCCTATCAAGCAAAACCTCAGCTGAAAATTTTGAATCGATGTCTGAGGTTCTGGATGGTTATTTATGGACTGTGACAACAATCATCAGTCATATAAGTTCAGATGAACGACAGCTCCAAATGCGGGATGGCTTGCTTGAGCTGTTGATTGCTTACCAAGTTATTCAACGGCTGCGAGATCTCTTTGCACTTTATGATCGGCCCCAGGTGGAAGGGTCTCCATTTCCATCTTCAATTCTCTTAAGTATAAATTTGTTGGTCGTTTTAACATCCAGATCTGAAATCAATTGCTCTATTGATTGGGAATCTGTGCCTATTGAAACAATGGTAGGAAATGGATGCGAAGAGGCTAAATTTGCGGTGGGTGACAGCATTGAATTTCTTCCTATCACTCAGTCCTTGGGAGATTCTAGACCTCCATTCTCTTTCGTCAGTGGTGGGAAAGCTGTACATCTACTAGATGTACCCGAGGAAAGTCCATTAAATGAATCATGTCTGATAAATAAGTCTGCTGAGTCAGTATCCTTCATTAAGGATAGCGAGAAAGAGCAGTCTAGTAGTTTGGTAGAAGGCAGGAATGCTAACACAATCAGCACAGATGTTCCAGATGAACCCCAGAAGATTCCAGTAGTGGATATTATGGAGCCTTTAGCATCACAAAAGGATGAGAAACCCTTGGTAGTTAACGGTGCAGAACAAAAGAATGAAAACATTGTGAGTGCAGAGCAACCGGTAGTGTTTCTTCTTTCTGCTGTATCAGAGACTGGGCTTGTCAGCCTCCCTTCTCTGTTGACATCTGTCCTACTGCAGGCAAACAATAGATTGGCTTCTGAACAGGTAACTTCTTGGTGCTTCCAATTTCTTTGTATTTTTCAGAAAAAGTACATAAATAAATTGGCACTCTTATCATTTTGGCCTCTTTTAATAGCTAGTGCTTTTCTTATCTTGTTTGAGTGCCAAATGTTATGTTTGTGTTTGGTGTCTGTGAAAAAAAGAGTTGTGGTGGGTTGACAGATCAAGGAAGACTATGCTTATCTGTTTGCAGTGCTTTTTACTGATGGTATCTTGCCCGTGACATATAATTCTGCTGAATCCTAATATGATTTCTATTCTACTTCAGACCTCAGATGCCCTTCCCTCTAATTTTGAAGACGTGGCAACTGGAGTACTGAAGGTGTTGAATAATTTGGCTCTTTTGGATCTTAAATTCATGCAGAGAATGCTAGTAAGGCCATTTTTCTTTTTCATTGTGATTTTTAGATAGTATGCTCATTTTTTAATTTTCATTCTGAAACTATCGTGCGGTGAGCTTACCCTTCTTATACTCTTTGTGACTTTCTTGCAGGCTAGGCCAGACCTGAAAATGGAATTTTTCCACTTGATGAGTTTCCTTATTTCGCATTGCACCAGCAAGTGGAAAGCAGCTAATGATCAGGTTATAAATCCATGCCACTTCTCGGTTTAATTCTTTATATTTGTTTGTTTTACTTGTATTTGCTCAAAGTTGAGCTAAACAATCCATGCACCTTTGTACGATGTTTTGTGTCTCAGGTGGGGTTTCTTCTGCTGGAATCTCTTTTGCTCCTTGGCCACTTTGCCTTGTTCCATCTCGGAAATCAGGCTGTCCTTCGTTGGGGAAAGAGTCCTACCATCATTCACAAGGTCAGTGAAGTCTTTGCCTTCAAATTTCTTGTATCTTCAAATTTTATTGGTAAAATCTAATTCCTTAGCTGTGTGTGGCCAGGTATGCGATTTACCGTTTGTATTCTTCAGTGACCCTGAGTTGATGCCAATCTTGGCTGGTACACTGGTTGGTGCCTGTTATGGGTGTGAGCAGAACAAGGGTGTTGTTCAACAGGAAATCAGTACGGATATGTTACTCTCATTGTTACGATCTTGTAGAAATGTCTTGCCGTCAGTTAAATCCAATTCAAACTTGGACAATTCCCAAGCAGATAGTGTTCCCCTAAGATCCGGGCGCAACAATGCCAAGAGCACCATAAGCACTAGGCTTTCTTCAGTGAAGGGTGGTGCTTCAGGAAACAGCTTGAGAATTGGCGGCAAGATGAAAAGCCATAGAGAAAGCAAAGCAACAAAGAGTCCCGGAGAGACGGCTGAGAAGGATAATCTTCCAGTTTCGGACACTTCCTCCGTGATGTTGCACTCTAGATTTCCTATCAGCTTCATCGATAGAGCAGAAGACTTCTTTTCCACCGGGACCCCTGGCGTCGATGAGGTATGAGCTCATGCACCGAAGAGTTATCCTTACGACAGATGACATCTTAGTTGTGTACGTGTGTGTGCATACTGAATTTTGTTTCTTTGGCATTCTGGCGTCATTTTCGAGTTGGAACATTCAATCCGAAATTTTGAAACAGCTACGGGATTTACAAATGTTAGGCATTGCCAGCAAAGGGTTAAAAACTCTTTGGTGTTGAGCGAGTTAAGCGAAAGAAATAAGTTACGAAACTTTTTAACTTATCGAAAACCTGTATCCTTGTTGGCCATATCAGATTGTTGAATGGCAACAGATCACACACACACATGTTTAGAACACCAAGCAGACTAAATTGTTTGCCTCTGTGTACAGAATTGACAGTTTGAACAATAAAGGATGCTTCTATGTTCGGTTTTTTCTTGTTATTTCAAATAGCGCTATCCTCACTTTGTCATTCTACCATGTTTACATAACATGAATGAGAGAAGTACAGAATCGGAAAACATAGGAATAAGGGAATTGGATCAACGAGTTCCCGGCAATCGATCTGATTCTTGATTTTTAGTAAACGGAACTCAACTATCAAAAAACTTTGAGAGAACGTGTGTCATTTGACTATGATCAAGGGTGGGCTGAAATGACTTCAATCTTTCTAAACCCCACCAGGGATTAGTCGTACCTTCGAGGTGTGAGATACCTCAAACTTTGGCCAAAAAAAATAAGAACAAGAAAGTATGGTCAAGGGTTTATAGGTTTTCCTCTCTGGCACAATTCAATCAAACCAAGGAAAAAATACATAAAAATTAAACCAAAAAGTTTGAATCTTTTATATAAATGTACAAATATTGCTTTATATTTCCAGTGGAAATGCTTGTATCGTATACAGCCGGGCGACGACAAGTACAAGGCAACTGAAACTACCTAAATCTGCAGCTTCAACTTAAACAATCTGAAGTCCAGAAATTGAGTCCTAGACATCAAAAGGTTCTAAAAAAATCAAAATATTTGCTATTCGAAGAAAAAATACATGAATTATACTCCTAACAGATGGCTATCTACCGTTGGAACCTTGTTGCTACTGGAGGGCTCGTCCAAGTCTTCGCCTGTAGTTGTAGCATCCAAGCGATTTTCCAATGAGTAGGCGCTCCCAGGAACCTTGACGAAAAGCTCATCCTCAATTGCATCCTCTTGCATAATCTCTATATGTTCCGGGCCCTAATAAAATCATTTAACGTGACGTCAAAATTGCAAATTCAATCTAAATGAACTTTAACGTAGTTCAGGCACAGGGAAATGAACAGTTGCGTCCTTATTACTAGTATTCTTACCGAAGAGCATGTTAGGAAAATAGAAAAAGTACCACTGGTTTCAGAACATACCGCTAGATTAGTCTCCGTAGCTTTCTTTTTAATGTCGTTCATGATTGCTTTCAGTTTTTTCTTAGCCTGGATCCTTGTTGACAGCCGTTCAGCACATTGTGCTTTAGTAACATCGCGATGACAGGCCACACAAAGTGTTCTCATGTTCTCGAGCCTGCATTCACCTACACAAGTTTTGAATAGTATAAGACTTTGAAAACCAAAGCTTAAATTCTAACCACGCACATAAATTGGAAAATAAAGTATTTGTGCTGCGAAACCAAAAGAAGGGATCTTCAAGAACGATGTGGTAATATCTCCACAAGTGAAAACAAGAGTACGAAGACTAGCATTTTAAGGTATGTTTTAACTACTTTTCTTAACATTCGATGTCAAGATCACACTGTTTTTCAATAGGTATGATATGAGAAACATCACCAAATCAGCGGAATGTAACAAGTTGTAACTCCATTTATTACGTGAACAAAACACTAATCAATAATAATATGAATTAGTGTAGTTTAATTCATCGGAAAGTTGGTTGGGAAAATCAGTGGTACAAATATTTGTGGGGAGAGCAAATTCTTGAAAGTCTTCTAAGAAGTAATTAGTACATACCTCCACCTCGATAGACAGGAACAAAGTGGTCTGCATGCCATGCATTGCCCTCTTTCGGATCCTTAACAAGCCTATCAAGCCTGCACGACGTCAAATGATAATGTGTTTTGGTTTAAGGGAATCGGGGATATTGTTGGTATTTGAAAGTACAATTGTTGGGTAATTAGCAGAAGCATTAAGAAGAAAAAATGAAACATTTTCTTCTAACTAGTTGCACAACAATTTCTTCTAACTTACGGTTTCTTCAGAGTTGCCACTCGTGGCGCAAAATTTTCAATATACTGCCTCCTCATTGCCAAGGATAACGGTCTTAGGTGCTCAACAAGTTTATGACAATCTAATTGGCAAATTGTGCAGACACCACGTTCCAGTTGAAAAAGCTCCTGCAAATCAAAGGGGGCAAAGCTCAAGAAAAAAAAAACATGCTCCAAAAGTTTCTATTGAAGTTGTCTTGCCACATGCATAAAATCAAAATAGAAGAGAAGAATATGCTGAACTTGATTATCTCAAGTAACATATTTCATGTCCTTACATGACGAAGAGATCTGTTACTTGTTCGGATGCGGTATTCTTCGTAGCAGCTAAGCTGGCAGAACAGATCTTCAAAATATTCAGGTGTCTTGGCATTATGGCCCCTGAAATCAAGTAAAGTAAGCGTCCGAAACAAAAAGATGTATCCAGTATATGTAGATAAACTACAGACAACTTACGTGCATGGTGTTTGACACAGTTTGCACAAAGGATCATCAGTCAGAGTAAAACCCTGAGTGTATTCCTTCTCCCTTTTTCCATAGCCACTACGTAGGTGGACTTTTTTCCACACAGTGTTTGATGGTAAAGGTTTGCTGATCTCAACAAAAGGTGTAGAGCGGCGCTTGCTTCCACCTTTCAGTAGTCCCTGCCAGAAAATAAAATGATTTGTAAGCATAACAGTACACTGCTGAAAAGACACTGATATGTATTATCAATAAATGCACAGAGAAAGGAGATCAAGTTTACTCCCACAAAGGGATATCAACAAAGTATGAAAATTCAGATTTGTAAAAAGGTACCCTGATGTCGTGGTTAATGCCTTCGCACAGGTAGCACAACTCAATAGTCAAAGGAAGCTGCAAAGGCTTTCCAAGTAATTTTTTTTGTTCGATGGGCCTCAATTTCTTCCATTCTTTGATGAATGCAAGAAGAGCATGCAAATAACCTGGATTCTCCTTCAAAAATTTGAAAGAAGTTCCTTTAATATTGTCAGCAGCAGTAGAATTCAATGCCTCGAGTTCTTCTGGTCTAAAATTCTCAAAAAGTGGCCTTGGTCTTGAATCCTCTCTTGAGATGCAAGAATACAAGTGGATTCTACCAGTGTATTGGCTCACCTAATATCCAAGAAAGAAAATTGTGATCAAATAAGAAAATTGTGATCAAATACTGTTTGTATAATTGCCACCATCTGTAATGCTAAAGTAACTAAATGAAGCCACATACAATTGAGGGCATCAATACTGATAAATCAACTAATCAGAAAGATTGTCCACTATCTGATTGTTTGAAACCATATCTATTAACCAGATTACAAGTTTTACCTCAAATCGCAAAGCATCTACTTGGTTGGTACTACTTTCTTTAGCTTCCATTGGCTGAACTGGTTCGGCGTCCTTTGATTTGGTTGCTTGACAGTTGTTTTGGTGTTCCTGCAAATTCTAACTTATAAAATTGCTTCCTTTGACAATAAATTGAAAGGAAAAAGTCATCTCTTTCTTTTGAGTCAAGAAAAATTCGAATGTGCCTTTTTAAGTCCATCTTTGTCTTCACTGCTCGTAGAAACATCTCCTTCCAAGTTCTCTTCTGAACATCCCTTGTCCCCATTGCAATCAAAAACCACTTGAGCCTGTTTCACCGAAAAAGTTGTATAGATCATGACAAAAAATAAAAATAAAACTCAAAACGACGAAAATTCACTCTCATACTTAAAAGGAGGTGCAGTTAATACCCTTAGGTTTTACCTTGGTACTACTGTGCGTTTGGGATGAAATTCCATCACTATCATTGTGCTGTGCAGATCCATGTAGAATGTTTGCAACCAATTTATCATACGCCGGTATCATATATTTGGCTAAGCAGCCAAAGTTAGACAATTTTATTGACTCTCCAGAGAACTCATCACCCACTGTCTTTTGCCACATATGATCTTCACAAGTATCAGCTCCACCTGACGTCTCAAAGAAAGAAATACCTTCGACCTGCCAAAACCCAAATATGAAGTTAAATGCTACATTGCTTATGGCAGAATGGAAACCAAACCTGACTGCCTAAGGATTGGATAAGTATTACGTGTTTTGAAATTAACCTAGTAATCAACTTGTTCTGTATTTCATTTTAGGACAATAACAATATGAACCTAGTAAAGAGGTTTAGAATCCAGTTAGAATTGAAAGGAACTTCCAAAAATGAAAAGTACCGGTATCTCTTGTATTGCATCATACTTCCCGTTCGTTGTAGATGAAACACGGTGCAAACTCTTGTTCAAGTTTTGCCAATGTGACTCGTCTATAGTATCCTACAACATGTTATACTCATCAGTAAAAGGGAAATAAAGAATATGTTTACAGAACAACTATATAACAAAGGAAACAAGCACCTTTCCGCAAAATATGTATATGTTGACTGCATTTGTTTGCCCTCTCCTGTGAGCTCTATCCTCAGCCTTCAAATCAGAAGAATCATGCGCATCAAAGAGTCAATAATATATAAAATAGAAGAAGTTCAACAATGGGGCCTGAAATTAGTTTTTAATGTTTAAACCTGAAGCATCAACGATGGAGACTGAGGAAGCTCCAAGAACACAACATGCTTTGCTGATGAGAAATCAAGGCCAACACCTCCAGCAGTAATACCAATTATTGCAATCTTGACCTGAAAATTTGACACAATACATCATTCAAAACACACAAATATATGGGGCAAAAGAAAGGATTCTTGGCTGAGACCTCAGCAAAATGTGCAACTCAAGCTGTGGAAAGGATACTTGGTGTAGTTAGTTTGTAGGCACATCAAGTAAAATTGCCAAGGAAATAATAGTATAGTATATATGAACCTCGGTAGATAGTTGGAATGATCGTACAGCTTCCTGCCTATCTGCAGCAAGTGTATTTCCATCAATTCGGACAAAAGTAATCCCTTTCTCACATATGAACTCCTGATAATTCAGAACAAAACAAGACTAAATTGAGGAATTGATTGGACAGAAACATTAATAGCAATGGCCACCAACCATTAACATGATAATCCATAATGTAATACCAACAGAAATAAGACACATAGTTCATGCGAGTAATTATACAACGGTAATGAAATACTCATAAACATTACAATTATATTCCACCACTGTATCCTTTCAACTTCAAATAACTAAAAACACACTACCTTTTGAATAACTGGTCACGATGGCCCTAGATTGGAGCAGTAAACCCAAGTAACCCCACTTGAGCAACTTTAATCACTAAAATACAACCATTCTCAAAGGATGAACAGGAAGCACAAATTTTGAAGAAAATCTCACCTGTAATCCGTCAAGTACTTTATGGTGATGCGCAAATATTAACATTTTGTGAGAACTGGAATCTGATTCCAAGTTTACAACACCATCTGATTCTCCAATGAGTGGATGAATGGAGAGCCATTCCCGAAAACCGGCTAGCTTTGCAATACCTAATTCTTGGTAGGAAAGTTGCCCTGATCTGCAGCAACACTCACTATCTGAAAGCAATAGGGTAAAAGAAAAAGAAAAATGAGTATAAGCAGATAAATAATAACACTAGTTGCACAAATTTTTTCTCGAAATGGCTTCTCCACCAAACCATCAAGGGGCATGAAATAAAAGAAAACACATTACCCTTTGATTGCACGCACATATTCGAATGCAGAAAATATTCAAATTACCATTTGGTTCATCCAAATTTTCTGAAGATGCATTCTTAGTGGCACTTCTTCCCACCCTGACAGCAGCTATTGCTGAAGCTATATCTGATTTCTTCAGTACTACTTGTATAATCTGGCGGCGTTTGGGTGGTAGCTGAACCAGGACATGTTCCTTCAAGCGTCTTATCTACAATTAAGTGTGCAATTAAAAAAAAGAGATTTGAACAAGAATAACCAAGGGTACAAAAGTATTACAAAGTTCCAACCATGTTAAAACAGCAGAAACTCCTTGGTCACTAGAACAACATGTACGTTAACTTTAAACCTACATTGAGTTCAAAGAGAGGACATATACATCTTAAAGATAATAAAAAGAACAAGAGCACACCATAACCGTTTGCTTCAGTAACATGTTCAACTCCTCCAAACGAGTGCCCTTAGAGAAATCCTGCAGCACAATTCCATGGAGTATCTTAAAACTTTCCTTTGTCACAGTAAATCGTTTTAGAAAAACTGATGCTAATAAAAGGTGCTAGCACAATTGCAAAATGTATAGGTAAATATATAGATATGGGTTGACAGTAAGTTTAATTTCTCCAGAAGAAGAAATAACATCTGAAATAGTCAACCACAAGGCTTTTCAGGACAAAATGGATAGGCCTTTTAGGCCATGGCCAAGAAGCATGAAATTCTGATCATGTTTAACTACGTGGCAGCACAAAGAGGATAATTTTCAACAAATCAATATAATGATATGATCTTCAATATTACCTGAAAAGTTTTCCCTTGAACACCGTGGATATATTTGACATCACAGTAAGTTTTGGCAAAGTCATACTTGTCTTTTCCCAGCAAACCAGGCCTTTGAAAAAGAAGAAAAAAAAAAGCAAGATGTAAAGTGACCAATAAACCAAGAGAGAAGTAAGCCGGTTGATAGAGATATAACAGTGTGAAGAGAACTTACCATAACATATCTATCTGATGAAAAATGTCATACGGCCTATGATCACCTAGGAAGATATACAAAATGAGACATTAGAACGGACTAAAGAGTGGTTAACTAGAGAAAAATACAAAAATAATACAGAACTGCAGACAATGCTGCCAATTTCTTCAAAGTCCCATGCTACAACCTTGACAAAGAAGGTGTTCCAGATAGTAAAACTATGCGCTTGACCTTTGTTGCAATGTCAAGAACAGCTTTTATCTGTAAATACACAAGATTTAATTAGCATATAGTAAAAGCTCCCTGCAAGTATAGTATACTTAACTAATTACTATGAACATTCACAAAAAAGCAATCTAGGAGACTAAATTTGAATGAAAGCGGTATTCCTCGTATTACAATTTTTGTTCATACTAGCATCTTTAAGCTGCCAGTCCATAGAATTGATGACAAAAGTATGCAGAAACAAGCAAAGAAATTTGTGTTCCTTTACATTAAGTGTATAACACCCAAATTACCATGCAAAACCAAAGACCTCAAAAGATAGAAAATTCATAAATTATTAATTTTAATTTCCAGCAGGCTAGCGTTATATGGTACAGGCAACAATAATAAGACACTCTAAATCTTGGAGCACCTTATACGACCAATTTATCATTAAACCAGGTGTTATAAGAATCCTCGTAACCACTGATATTTGGCATGATAAGAAATATGCTTTACCTCTCTAGGTTCTGATGATTTCTTGGTACATCGTACGTGGTGGGATTCATCAACAACTAAGAGAGCCCATTCTCGTTCAAGCATGCTCTTATGCAACCGGTGGAGCATTGTGTAAGAAATAACCACAACTCTAGGCCATCTCTTTAAATTGGCAGGATTGTTTTCATGACCAAATACTGGAGTCACAAGACCATGTGAGAATCCATTCATGTTTTAGAAGTAAATCTATAATATATACACATATAAATTAAACAAAAGTAAATTGGGAACAGCTAAAGTATGTACCTAGATGGATGTCAGCTGGCAAGCAAAACGGAAGCCACCGCTCTAGTTCTTCTGCCCAAGAGTAACGTAAAATGGCAGGGCAAACAACAAGTATGGAACCTTCATGCATGAAACAGCTTGCAATAGCAATAGCCTGGGTGGAAAATTGTTAACATATTAAATTTCATTTACTCATGGCAACTTTAGGGGAAAATAGGAGAAAAAAAAATTAAAGTGCAGGAGATACACCTGTTTGTGTATAATACGAAGTTCTGTGTGTATGTGCAGTCACTGTATGTGAACAGTTGTGAAAAAGCCAAATAATATTGCAGATGTTATCAAAAGCAGCGTTCTAGCACTCACACTCAATAAAACTACACTGCACTGTCTCAATGCTGACTCAATGCACCCAAAAGGCAGAATGCAGTTAAAACCTAGAACCATGAATAAAAATCAAAGGGTATTTAAGATCATTTAATAAAAAACTACCTGGAGTGTCTTTCCAAGGCCCATTTCGTCTGCAATAAGACATCGTCCACCTCTTTGCAAACCAAATCTAACACCCTCATGTTGGAAAGGCAAAAGTGCATCTAACAGCTTCTTCGGTAGCTTCCCAACGAACTCATCAACCATTTCGTCTGACAAGTGTTCTGGCCTGCATGGTATCCATTTTCCCGCAACAAAAGAATGTGAAAGTCTCTCTACAACATTAAGAGTGCCCCAAGGTATTTCTTCAGTGTCAATGCTCTTGCTGCTTCTTAGACATTTCAAGACCGCACTGTAATCACTCAGCTTATAAACACCGGCCTTTCCACCACCATGATTTTGCGTGTAATGGGATGGCATGACCTAAGACAATTCCATAACACCACAATTTAAACACAAAATCCTCCCTCACTAACGATTGCAATACGTTTGAATATTATGATTTTCTTATTGAAGTAGCTTTACAAGTACTGAAAACCGATAGTAATAGTTATATAAGAAAGAAACAAAACTCAATGCACTAAAAAATTTAGCCTTTTTCGAAACGAAACCACTGAAAATCAGAAAACTTTTATTCAATTTCCTTTCTCTATGTTCATTTCCGCCATTTTTTCGCCACCCAAACAAATACCTTTCGAAGCCTAGAAATAAGCTATTTTCAAAACCAAACCACCAAAATTCACAAAACCCAGAATTCAATTTCCTTTCTTTCCTATTTGTTCAACCATTTTTTTCTCACCGCACAAAATTAAAAAAACAAAAACCCACTTAAACTACTTACATTAGCCAAGCAATCACTTAGTCTCCTTAAGCACTCCTCCTGCCCCGGAAATGCAAACCCTTTTACGGCAACTGGGGTGGCTGAGAAGGAGTCCGGGGAGCAGATTTCGAGCCTGACCCGGAACCTCGCTGGAAATTGAATATCCGGAACCGGTTTGACCCGGGAAAATTCGGGTCTCGGATCGGGGATGCAATGCGTGGAGCTTGGGGTGAGGTCGGGAGAAATCTTTCGGCACTTGAAGAGTGACCATGGGTTTTGCTGCTGTTGTTGAAGATTGGAGGATTCGGATTCGATCAGCGCTTTGCGTTTCGCTAGTGCTACTAATCGATTCGCTTCGGCTCGTCTTCTTTGTTCTTCTGTGATCTCCATTTTTGGGAATTAGGGTTTTGAGATTGGGGGGAGAATTCCAATTTTTGAAAGGGCGGGAATGGGAACCCCAGAGAGAGAGAGGGCCTTGAAGGTGAGAATTGGAACAAAATTAAACACGTGTCTGCATGTGACACAACCCGATAAAAAAACTGGGCTAAACGGGTTGTTTCTTAGGAACTTTAACGAAAAACTCGTATTCTTCAATTTAATAAAAAACCATATTTTTACATTAAAAAATCAATTATGATACTATTCACTTTACCAATTAATTTTCTTTAGTTTTTCTTTGTTTCTTTTCATTCGTGTTATCGGATCGTACATGATTGATGAAGTCTGCTAAAATTACCAAGTGCTTGAAAAGTTGAAACCCCAAAAAACAAGGCAACACAGATGCCTCTCAACGTTTGACAGTGAACCCTAAACCCAATAACACACATCTACTAGTTCCCCCTCCAACTTCCATCAAATTTGACAATTTTTCTTCAACACTACGTAGTATTAACTAATACAGAAAAGAATATTTGAGATTAAAAATAAAAAATCTAAATAGTGGTAAAAATTAAATTTAATAATTAAATTACTCGTAACATTAAATCATACGTAGCATTTAAGTCTTACCCAAGAAAATTCTTCAATAAATTACATTATAATCTGTTGCTTGCTTCCTCTGGTGGGCCAACAGAATCCAATGTTGGTGTCCAATGTTAAATCATTCCCATCCAATGGAATAAGAACAGCTACCAGCATGGAATGGTCATAAGCAAAACTTCAAGAACACTACTGCTTCAAGTGATTTCCACACATTTTTTTTCGTCATCCACACCCCAGAGTTCATTTTTAGTATTCGGACTGAAGAAATCAAAAGATATAAATAAAGAAGGACGCCCAGAAGAAGAAAAAGAGTGTGGGGAAATCATGTTTCCGAATATAATATGAAAATTATGAAGGAAAAAGAGGACCATAGAGTTAAAAATGGAAGAATCTTGCTGGTTTAGGTTTATGTGCGTGTGCCTGTGGTGTTGTATTTGGGGAAAATCCTTTGCTTCTTCCTGCATAGATTCATGTAAACTGTGAAGCATATCTTTCCCCTTGCTTCGCTTTGCGTCCATGTTTCTCCCTGTTCATGACCAAAATTCTGATAAAAGCAATAGCAACACACCTTTGCTTCTATTTTTCTTGGCAGCCAAACAGTAATCTGCTTGAAAACCAGGAAATTTGAGAGCGAAGAACAGGCAACAGAGGTTTCTGAAGAAAGCAAGCCGCCAGCCCAACAAACACAATCTCTGTAGGTACTAATCTGCATACTATTCTACTATTTTTTCCTTATATGCATGTAGTTAGAGTTGAATATTTTGTCCAAAACAGAAAGTTACGTTATCGAAAACTGAATGTTATGTTCAATTCTGTGGCTTGAGTTACAAGAAAACTCAAAAGACTTCCATTGATTTATTTTTGTACATAGCAAGGGGCAAAACTGCTTCCCGGGCCAGTTTTTCGGAGGAAATGAGTCATTATTCTGATGCACAAGATGTCGAGTCTGCAACTGCGGTTGCAGCAGCTGCCCTTTCCATTCACTCGAATGAAGAAGCTAAATTACAGTATCAAAAAGGGACGAGGGAAAGCATTCCGATCTCAAGGACCAAGACTCTGCAGGATCTGATGACTGGGCGGCCAAACAAAGAAGCAAGGGATGCTGGTACTTGACTATTTACTTTTTTCGCGATAAAATGTTTCGGTGAACTAACAGGTTGTATTCATGATAGGTGAAGTTTCAATGAAAGATCAAAGAGCACAGGAGAGTGCTTTTCCATCTAGGTACCCGAATCGTGCATCCTCTTCAAGACCTTCGACTCCTGCAAATGGACACCAAAACCAAAAGGGAAGTCCAGGCAGACGTAATGCTGCGGACGCAAAAGCAGATGCTTGGGAGAGAGCTCAGATGAAAAAGATTCAGAGGCGGTAAAGATTAAATGTTTTATGGGGAAACGATCTCCGCACACCCCTTTTCTCCTTTTACATGTCCTCATTATTTTGTGTCCTTTGATGGAACCAAAGGCCAGAAATAAACAACTGGGGTGCGCTGAGGGGAAAAGGCGTGCGCGGAAGTCACTAGTACAACATAATCGTTGTTGATAGAAGATGGATTCAGTTTCTTCCTTTTGAAATGGTAAATTATACTATTCAGGTATGAGAAAGTGAAGGCTACAATTGATGCTTGGGAAAATGAGAAGAAAATGAAAGCAAAAGCTAAGATGGAGAGGAGAAAGGTACGTTGCAACGATTGTTGTTTTTTTAATTCAAAGTTTGCGAATGCCAATGAAGAAGACCGCTGAAATAGTGTGTTGAAATTGCAGAGTGAAATTGAGCAGAGAAGAGCAAGAAACATGCAGCATTACCAAATTAAGCAAGCAAGAATTGACCAGATAGCAGGAGGAGCAAGGGCACAAGTGGAAGAGAAACGAAGAAATGAAGAGTCGAAAGTCAAACAAAAGGCGAAAAGGATTAGTTCAACAGGCAAGGCTCCTACTACATGTTTCTGCTTCACTTGTTACTAGAAAGTGAATCGGTCACTCGATATTCTGCTGATTAAAATCTGTATATGTTAACCACATTACGGGTAGCTACAGTATATCGATCCTAACTTATTTTAATTTGTACATGATGTATAACAATTAATTGTGTGTTGAATCTGCTGATCCTATAAAACTATATATTTGGCCCTTTCGATTCAAAGACTTGAGACAGCAGATTTTGCAGGCACAAGGAGTTAGATACCGGTTCAATCTGCTACTTCATCTAAAATTCTCAAACACTACAAAAAAAATCCTTGTTATAATTTTGCCCCTGCAGGCCTAAACCATGAAAAGTATTGAAATGGACTACTTCAGGGGGAAAGAATAAGGTCCAAGATTTTGACTTGGATTGACGTGAGTCACGCGACATTTAGGTATAGTTGTAAGATATCTAATGAAACCGTTGCTGGAATTGAGATCTCATTCAACGAGAAAGATAACAAATATCTAGGTAAACGGTTCCCTCATTTTGAGGGCAAGGGCACAATAGGCGGACCATTATGCTGGACTAAATTACCCTAAACCCAAGCCCTAAACCATGAACTTTGAAATTACCTCCACCACAAGATAGCTGCATCCGCCAAAGGCGACGTTGTTTCCAACAGCTACCTCCTCATCACATCTTGCCCTCATACTTTGGACTGTTATTTGGGTTCTCCTAATATGTTCATCAAGTTATAAATATGCATCTCATATTGCAGCAAAAGTAAACTATTGGTAATCTTGTCTGGAAATCTTTTTGAACAATTTTATATGACACTACATTAGCTTCAATCAGTCGATCTGTGCATGACATGCTCCTGTCTCTTCACGTGGAGCATTGTTGTTAACTTAAGCCAGATTGATCAAGAGGCTGGAAGCCATCCAATTTCAAGCTTTCGAGTTTTCGCCACCCTAGCCGGCGTCGTCGCTTCATGTAAGTCTCTCTCATGGTTAAGCATGCATGACTAGCTAGTTTGAAGTGGACCTGAATGTGAAATCACCATCACAAGGCAAGCTCCAAAGGCTATTACAAGTGCTGTCTGCTAATAGAGCTTAATGATTCAGAAAATCCAAGAGAAGAAAGAGAAAGTGTTCCTGGAGATGGAGCAAAGTGGCCCTAGCTGCCATAGTTATGTTAGACAAAAAACCAAATGTGGCCCTATTTATCAAGCCAATCACTCACCTAGGCTACTCTAGCTAGCAGAGAGTCAGAAACCAGACCATCAATGAGACGGAGAGAAAATGAAGGACGGTTGTCCAAATTCGATCAGTTCTGATGGCCCTAAATCCGAATCCACATACACATAGATTAAATGTAGTTTAGAATATCGCCTTCTCAAAAAGAAAAATTCAGTTCTCATGAAATAGGTCAAACCTGAATAAATCATTGGCTCTTATATTTCAGCACACATAACCCTGCAAAAACATGCACCAGATTCTTCAGCCTGGCTAGCTCTTTTTTTTTCTTTCTTTTCTTTTTTAAAACATCATCTGGTCTTTTCCTGTAACAATAACGCATAACATCTTGCAAGAGATGTTTATATGACTTGTAAATTACCAAGTAGCTCTTAGCCTGACAATTTTAAAAAGAAATACAAAAATTGTAGTCAAGTCACACCCTACGACTACAAAAATGGACATAGATGACTGGTTACTCAATGGCCAATAAGAGCAAGTCAAGCGGTGCCCATTGTCCACTGGATTGGGGACCATTTCAATCCAATTGCCTTCCTCCCTTGCTCCATTCCATGCGGGCGATTGGGCTCGGGGAGGCCAGCTTGAGAGGGGAGGCACGAATCAACGGGCCTAGAGCTTGAAGGCGCTGACGCAAGGCTGACGTTAGTCATGTTATAAAATCAATAAAAAATGTAAAAAATTAATTAAAAATCTGAAAACAAATTTAAAAATTAAAAAAAAAATCTAAAAATTTCTTATCATTATCTTCCATCTTACACCACAATTTTATTTTTTTTCAAATACTTCAGGTTGTAGTTTCTTATTTAATGACATGTGACGCAACGAGACCGATTAAAAATCATATCCGAAATTACAAATAAAATTATTTTTTATTATTTTATAAAATAAAAAATTACTAATATTTTATTACCTATTATCATGGCTATTTAATTTATAGATAGAAATGCAAAAGACAATTACTTTTCATTAAATGTAATTACTGTTCATTGAAGAGGATTTAATAGGCAGTTGTCCTGGGGGCTTCCCACACTGGAAATGCTCTAAAGTCAAAAAGCCACGGCCCCGTCATTTGGCCTATGAAGGAAGGAGGACCACGTATCACGCACACATACATACACGCACACATACACACACGCACACAATATAATATATATATATATATATTGATATTGTGTATAAATTCCTGTAAAAGTTAGGGGTGTGCTATCCACACACCCCTTTTTACTTTTCACACACCCCTTATTAATTTCTGTTCGTTGATCTTCTTCAATTCATCCGATCCGACGGCCAAAAACCAAAAAAGTGTGGGAGAAGTAAAAAGGGGTGTGTGGATATCACACCCCAAAAGTTATTGTTGGTCTCAAGTGGCAGCACAAGATAGACAGAGAGGGAGATAGAGATAGAGAGAGAGAGAGAGATGGCCATGAGAGGACTCAAATTGTCAGTTTTCAACCAAAACTGATCTATCCGTTAAATTTGTTCATAACTTGCATGATATATGTTATAAATCAACCAACCAGACAAGAGGTTGTCTTGAACTTTGAGGCACTGCATAATGTGAGATTGTCAACTTATATCAGCGGCTAAATGATTAAAGGGATAAACTATATTTTCACCAGTTACCCTCTCTCTTTTAAGATTTAAGGAAATTGTGATCGCGTTACGAAATTTGTGTTGAGAGCATCGGTCGTCAAAGGATGAAAAGTCTAGCATGGTAACTTTGTATTAGAGTAGATTATTCATGTAAAATTAATCAAACGCAAAAAACTGTGTAAGGTGATGTTGAGAGTATCCTACACGAAATGACTTGAAGACCCTCGATCTATAGTGGTCTAGGGCAATTGACTTATGAACTTCGTGTTGATGAGAATTTAGAGCGAACTATTCATGTATTAGGTGTAAAAGACCATGTGTACGTGAGACTGAGAGTATCATACGTGATTTGTGAAAGTATAAAACACCACACGAAAAAAAAAAGCAAATGACTTTAAGAACCTTATCTAAAATGGTCCAGGGAGAGGCAAAGCATATATTTTTTTTCTCCTTTCTTCTTTTTAGCTACCACATGTTTTGTGTAAAATCTCCATCACAGCAATGTGAGTATGACACAAAAAAGGGACCAGAAAGACAATGAAATAATAAGAGAGAGTCCAAACTCATATCTCCAACTCATTCATTTGTCGAGAGAGAGAGAGAGAGAGAGAGAGAGAGAGAGAGAGAGAGAGAGAGAGAGAGAGAGAGATTTATATAGAGTAGTACTGTGGAGTTCTGATTTGGAATACGATTACTATATTCAAAGGAAAGACGACCAAGAAATAACAAGTCGAAGGAGGAGAGAAAACAGATATCCTCCATTCCTCCTCACGTGTGCATGCATCATGCAGCAGCAGAACCACTCCAACGCCATTCGTCCTGTCCCTTTGTAAGCACCACTGTTCATATTTTCTTTCATAAACCTTTGAATTTTTTGTTGATTATTTATGTAATTTTCTCTCTTAATTTCTGTTTTTTATATGGAGTTTTTATTTTATTTTATTTTATTTTTAAATTTTTTATCAATGTGTAAATTGTGTATGGGATAATTAACCAGAATTTGGTGTTTTTATTCTTTTTCAATGCTATTGCACCAGTAGGATTTATATGCTTTTCTTTTCTAGCTCTATTCTCTTAACTAGAACAATAATGATATTCTTACTATATTTTTGTACCACAATTGTATACCACTTAGTGGCATTTGACGTGGACAGTCACATCATCTAAATTAATTAGCATTTAATTTCAAAATATTAATCAATAATTAATAAAAAGATTGTTACTTAAATGATGATTGTGATATACGAGGAGTCTTCTTCTACCACCTAAGATTATTTAAGTGTTTTAATTAATAAAAATATTGAAATTAAATGATGTAGCTTGTCCAACTCATCTGCCACCTAAGATGATAAAGAAATATGGTATAAAATTGTGATAAGAATAACATTACTCTAACTAGAATCTCGATGTACTCAAAACCTTTGAGTTGTAAAAAACCCAGTTACATGCTATAATTAATCCTTCTTTTCGTAACAATTATCAATCGTGAAATTGAATTCCGAACCTCATCTCATAGATTGAAGAATAAATATCATTAGGCCAAACGGTTATGTACCTTATGCACTTTGGTTTCAAACATTGAGTTTTTAGTCAATTAACTTATTTTTAGACAGTACATTTCGTACTCTTTATTTTTATCAAAATATTTCATCATATATTAGGATTTTCTTGCTCATTCAAACATATATTTTGGATTTACAGGTCTAATTATGACGTCACAGAACTAAAATTGGAAAACGGCCAGTTGGCCATGCATGGGCTTGGTGCGCTTCTTACAGCTCAATCAAATCCCACATGGAGCAGGAGCAGGGCTTGTGACACACTGGAATCAATTGTCGATCAAGCTACATGCCACAAACGTGACCCAAATATCATCCGCCATGACCAGACCCCGGCAAACACAAGCTCGGTGGTTGCATCCTCCGGCGAAACATGGACCGACAGCTCTGTCCAGGTGCCGCCGGCGCAGGGGTGGATAAGAAAACGCAGTCGATCATATTCCGGCTTCTTCGAGAATAACTTTAGTACTAATAGCATTCATGAAGAACATGCAGATCCCAGCAGTTGTGCTAGTCCTGGTGCTAGTGTTAGATTGTGCAGGGACAATCATAAAACTACCTCGACGTTAGTTTCTTTTGAGTCTCCTCCCAGTTTGAAGACCAAAAGCACCGACGAGGATTCGGCCAGTCACGGAGGGCTGGTAAGATACAACATGTACATATTCTTTGAGGCGTCGTGCACTTTAAATGATGCTATGCTACATGTATCACATTTCTCGTCACATCTCTCGCAACTTGTATCTTACAACTAGCAGGAAAACCGAGATGATGGCCGGGAAACCACCAAAGGTGGCGGATCAAGCCGTTCACACTCAACAAGACCAAGGCGAGCTGCTGCTGTTCATAATCAGTCAGAGCGGGTAACAATTTAATTTTGGTCTCCCCCATCTAATAATTTGTGTGCGGAAATCACTTCTCTAACTGAAACTAATTCCGTGCAGAAACGAAGAGACTTGATTAACCAGAAGATAAAAGCTCTGCAAAGGTTGGTGCCAAATGCAAGTAAGGTGAGAAAATTTGATGTGTGCTGAATTACGATCATCATTACTTAATTTAATTTGGAGACAATGTTATTTTTGTGGTTAATTTGGACTTGTCAAGTGATTAATTACAGACTGATAAAGCTTCAATGCTTGATGAGGTGATCAAATACTTGCAACAACTTCAAGCTCAAGTCCAAATGATGCATAATCTGAGAAATTTCATGGCTAATGGCCATATGAATATGAATATGATGGTGCCTTTAGAAATGCAGCAGCTGCAGCTGCAGCATCTTCATCAAATGTCACTCCTGGCTCATATGGGAATCGGAATGGGATCGCGCATTCATCCTACGCCGGTTGTGGCTGCCGCTCTTCCTTCTTTCATGCCGCCATTTATGATGCCGCTGTTAATCCCACCACACCCTCCTCCTCAAGCAAAGGCAGAACCAACCAGCACGAATAATGGTTCAGACCCTCTACCTGATCCATATTGTGCCCTCCTAGCACAAGTACGTGTTTCCACATACATATGTGAGGAAATGATAGAAAGAAACCTATGTTTGGAAGTACTTCTAGAATAGCTAAAACCAATTTTCAGATAACCAAAAGTGTTTATAACAGAATGCTCACAAGTGTTTTATGCGAGAGCACCTGCTATGTGCTTCCAGAAAGCACTTTCTAAAGAAGCATTGCTAACTTTTGGAACTAATTTGAATAAAACTTGATTTGCAGCAATCAATGAGTATGGACTTGTTCAACAGGATGGCAGCTCTCTATCGACAAGAAGTCACTCCGGCAACAGCAGCGTCAAGCAGCCAGCCGCGGTCAAACCATGTACGAAGGAACTAATGAGGACTCACCTAGCTTCAGGAGATAATAGTTTACGTGATAAGAGAAATACTAATATACGATCTAGTCCCGGGAAAATGCAACTAATTCCAACGTTCTCTGAATTACTAATGGTCTTGTATGCTTGGACTTGTCAATTAAGTCTTAAAGATGATTTCTTCCTATATAATTTTGCTAAAATACCGAATCTGGATGATCGGAAGTCCACATCACAACATCCTGGAAAATGGATGCATGACTCTGTTAAAACCATAACAATTTTGCCCCACACGACATTTTCTGATGTGAGTTTTGAACCATAACAATTAATCTGGCCTCTAGATATCAACGTACTTATTCGTGTTACTGACGTTCTCGACATGTCACACGACAACGACTCATAACCATCTATGGGGGCATCTATGAGAATGGCAGTCACACCATGGTCCCTAATTGTTCATCGCAAGCTTCGTAAATATGTAATTTCGATAAGCAGTAACTAAAAAATCACCAACACGCACGTTGCAGAAACATACAACAGAAAAATAATAGCAATAATGCACAACTCCTTCGGCAAAACAATCAGTATAGCAGTACACACAAGAAAAATGTTTCATATTCTCAGAGAGCCTTCTCACCTTGATTCAGTTTTCTCTTCACTTATGCCTCCGCAACTTCACAAGCTCGCAGAACTTCAATCCCACGCAACCTCCAAAACTACTGCATTCGTGTTTTTTCAGATATGTACAGAAATCATAACTATATGTTTTTGGTATATCAGACTGCATCTTCTGTGTCTGTTTCCGATGCCATGGATTTGGTATCCTGAAGCGAAATCACAGTCTCGAAAGCACCAACCAAGGCCTTGACTTTACTCTTCCTGGACTCAACAAGCCTACTGGCAGTCTCTTCAATCACATTATTCAACAACTTCTGCACATCCTTCCTTCCTGTCACACCTTGGTGTCTCAACACAACTTTCTCAGGACTCGTTTTAGTACTACCATTCAACCCACTATCACCAGCCGCTTTCCTCCTCAAGCTCTTCCCTTGTGAACCTTCCACATCTCGTTTGAAGCTTCTCGGAACAACTTTCTCGCTTTTGAATTTACCACCATTTGACTGGCTGCCATCAACTTCAATCCTCCCAAGGCTTCGCCTTTTGATAAAAGCACCATTTGAGTGACTGTGATCAACTACTTTCCACCAGGGGCTTAACCTTTGGAATACATCACCAATTGACTGGCTGTCACCAACTTCTTTCCTCCCGGCGCTTCCCCCTATTACACCACCTTTACCATTTTGGGTCTCCCCTGCCAATCTTACTCGCCTGAATTTGAGTCTCCTTGTAGTATTGATCTCAGGCTTAATGTCAAGCACCCTTCCTCTCCTAAATGTCAGCTTTCGGGCTGAGCTGTTTTTGCTTTCAGAGCTAAGTATCTCAGACTTTCGAGGCCTAGTACTCTTCCCCACCTTCAAATTTGCTCTTTGATTACCAGTTTTCATTGCTTTGCGTTGAGAGGTGGCGCCATTTTCTTTTTTATGAGTGGACTTGACTGGGGATGCGGACACGGATGATGATGATATGGATGATGATGATAAGGATGACGATGAAGATAAAGGTCTTCGAGTACTACGCCTCAAGCCTTTGTTTTTAGGGGATGGAACAGTAGGTGAACGACCATAACCTCCATTTGCAGTGCGTTTCAAGTTTTTCTTCATAGAGGATGTCGGTGCTCGAGTGGTACCAACTCCCTTCCTAGCTTGTCTCGAGCTTTTGACTTCCGAGGATTGATGTGACGACGACGATAACTTAGGGGCATCGGCACCATTTGGAGTTGGTTCGACAGTACTATTCTCAGTATTAGACTCGATGACATACAAAATCTTTTCTGGAACATCCTTATTGCAGGGTCCCTCAGGTTCAACTTTTCGGGGACCGTTTTGATCTTTCATATGAGACAACCCTTTAAGGTTCTTAAAGCTTCCAGCATTTTCATCGCAGACTCTCTTGACGGGGTGTTTGTAAGTCAAAGAAACAGTTTCAGGCTCTAACATCTTTTTCTCAACCAATACAGGAGTCCTCGGCGGTTTGCTTCTGTTTTTTCTATTGACACTGCTGCTCAAACGTTCGGGTATTTCCTTGCCTTTTCTAGTTCCACTCTTTCCTTGAATACTTGAACCTTGTCCTGTGCAAGAAGATGACTCTACTTGCTCACGCTTCACCTTTGAACCGATGGAACCTTCCATAGAAACTTCAATCTCCTTAATGGGAGTTAAAACCGTTTTTGAAGAGACATTTTCTTTCCTTTTTGATGATAAAGCTCTTTTCTCCATGACACCAGAATGATTAAGTTTCCGTGCTTTAGAATCTGGAGAAGGATTAGGACTGACTGTTGAAATCACTTTTGAATCGTTGGAATCTTCAGCAGAAACATCTATATCTTTATAGGGAGGTGAAACTCTTTTCTGCGTGGCAATAAAATTCTGGGACTCGGAATCTGGAGAAGGCTTAGGATTGATTGTCGATGTCACCTCCGAATTGCTCAGGCTTGGGTCTGATCCTGGGAGAGAAGATTGATCTAATTGCTCAGCCTTCATTTTCGAATCAATCAACTCTTCCATAGAAACGGCTATTTCCTTGGGAGATGAAACTTTCTTTGAAGAAGCAGTTTCTTTCTTCGTCGATGATGAACCTTTTTTCTCCGTGACGACAGAATTATTAAGTTTCAAGGTTTGGGAATGTAGAACAGACCTCGGTCCAGTTGTGGATATTGCCTTTGAATTTCTCAGGCTTAAGGCCGGTTCTGGGAGAGAAGATAGCTCTGATTTCACACGCTTCACCTTCAAACTGGAGGAATCTTCCACAGAAACATCAATATCCTTGGAAGAGGATGGAACCTTTTCTGCAGAAACAATTTCCTTCTTCCTCAATGACAAAACTTTTTTCTCTGTGACAAGAGAATTGTCAAGCCTCTGGGTGTCGGAATCTGGAGAAGGCTTTTGATTGGTTGTGGATATCTGTTTCCTCTCTTTAGCCGATTTTCGCATGGCAGCAGTTGCATTTTCTTCAGATGCATTTCTCACTCCATATTTGCAATAATCATGGCAAGAACCTATTGGAACTCTGAGATAGCGGGACTGAATCCTTCTACCACCCTTTGGTTCCATTTCATGTGGGATCCACAGAACAGAGTTCCTGCTGGTATCCCCAGCATTTGGTTCCATTTTCTGTGGGACCGCTGGCATAGAGTTCCTTCCGATACCACCACCATTGGGTTCTAATTCCTGTGGGATCACTCTGATAGAGTTCCTTCTAACATCCCCACCATTAGGCTCCATTTCCCGTGGGATCACTGGGATAGAGGTCCTTTTGATATCAGCAGGAGGATCTACTTTCTCGATGGAGCTTCTTCTGATATCACCGGCATTAGACTCCATTTCCTGTGGGTTCTCTAGGATAGACTTGCTTCTGATATTTCCACCCTCAGGCTCCTTTTTCTGTGGGATCTCTAGGATAGAGTTCAGTTTGATAGCACTGCCATCGGGTTCTATTTCCCGTGCGACATTTGCAATAAAGTTCCTATCATCATCACTGAGGTCCATGTCCTGCGGGACCACTGGGTTAGAGTTTCTCTCGGTAGAAGGAGAATCAACATTTCCGATAGCGCTCCTTCTGATGTCACCACCATTGGGCTCCCTGTCCTGTGGAATCCCTACGACCGAATTACCTTCGACATCACCACCCTTGGGATCCATTTCCTGTGGGATCACAGGGATAGAGCTCCTTTTGATATGAGGAGGATCAACATTTCCGATAGAGCTCCTTCTGCTATCACTGCCATTGGGCTCTATGTCCTGTGGAACCCCTAGGACAGAGTTACCTTTGACATCACCACCCTTGAGATCCATTTCTGGTGGGATTTCAGGGATGGAATCCCTTCTGATATTACTGTCAACATCTCCCCCATTGGACTCTGGTTCTTGTGGGATCGAATTATTTTTGCCCTTGTCACCACGAAGGTCCAGGACTTGTAGGATCACGGGGATGCCGATGTTCTCTACTTCCATTATGAAGAAGACGACATAGCAAACTGACAACCCTGTAAAGAATTATAATTTCCCAAGAAAGAGTGAGTGAGATAACGCTCACAATAGTTCCAGAAAACAGAAAAAATGCAGATTTCATATTATATCATGAACAGAAACAAAAGCTTGCAAAAGAAGTTAGAGATCACATTGTTATCCAAATACATTCACTGGTTCTTGACGCTTTAACATTTATGGTGAACCTTTTTAAACCTTTACAGTCTCTAATTCTTTCTTTCTGTCCCCATTCTTGTATTAGGGTTTTATCCTTTTTAGTACTCCTGAGAACTTGTCACTGCCACTTCACCTAAAATTTATCGAACACCAGATAATCGAACATTCAACCTCCTAATTCAGATGGCATGCCCTTGAGATACCTCATGCATCAACTTGTGACATTCTACGATCAACGTACCATTTGTGCACCCAAATTCTAAGTCTGTAAAATCCTAGTTGCTACTTGTTAGGAACAAAGTAGCAGCCTCACACACGCTCTAAGAAGATTAATTCAACTTTCATTGCACAAAATGCTTAACACAACCTCATGCGAACATTTCGAAAGATTTCAAATCACCCTATTAAATTGTTAAGCAAAGTAAACACACCACCTAACAGCTAATACAAAGAGCAAGAGGTCTAATGCAGATATGTAAGACATTAGACATACCATGATTGGTCTCCTCGGAGAATTAGTCTCGATTATTCAGCTCGTTGTTCAAAACCTGAAAAACCATACAAAAAGGTACAATCAAGATGAATGCAAAACCATCTACGATCTGCATTTGCAAACATCAATACCAAAACAAGAACAATGTATCTCATACATCACCAAACCGTCGAAATGATAACGGTAACCACAACCAATTCAATTTTTTTTTTCTTTGACACAAGCGATATTCTACACTAATTCATCAAACCACGGAGATGGGGATTCGAACTTGGGTGCAGAGACATGGATTCAAAATTTTCTTATTAAAGATGCGAAGAAAGCATATTTATGATGAGATATCAAACATTTAGGAAAACAGAGACTAGCCCATTTGCAGTTTTCACACAATCATTCATTTCATACAAAAACAAACACAAAAAGTCCATATTTTCACATCAACCATGAAACTAAAATCACAAAACACACAAAACCCACCTGCAATCCGGCACAAAAAATCACATTCCGCGGCGGAAAAAGAAAAATCCAAAACTTGAACAAAGCATCAAAGATCGAACCTTTTTCTTGTGTATCTTCCTATCCCTCTTCTCAATTACAAGAGGATAAAAGACCGCAAAAGGGAGCTGCACAAATTGGTCGTCCCTTACAAAAAGTAGCGATTTATTCGTCGTCGTTGGCTCTGTGAGGATGAGAATGCGCGTTTGTTTTTGTTGCAAATTAAAAATAAATAAACAAAATTAAAGAAAAAAATAAACCCAAAAAACCATCTTTTATGCCTGTTGGGTTTTGGTGGCGGGTCGGCTGCCTTTTTTGGGCTGGAAAGAGAGAGCAGAGGTGGAGGAGAGAGAAAGTTCAAGAGAGAGGAAAAATGGCGGGTACTAACGGTCTTTTTCTGGAAATACATTTATCCGTCTGGGATAATACGATTGAGTGACCTGACTGTGATTCTGGGTTTAAGTGTACTTGTCGTCGGCTGGCTGTATACGATACAAGCATTTCCACTGGAAATATACAGCAATATTTGTACATGTATAAAAGATTCAAACTTTTTGGTTTAATTTTTATGTATTTTTTTCCTTGATTTGATTGAATTGTGCCGGAGAGGAGAAACCAAAGGACCAGTGAGTCGGTGAGACTCATCCTTCTCTAGAACCCTACCGTTTTTGTTACTGGCTTTAAAATTAGCAGTCGGCTAATACAAGACTATAGTTAACGATCGGCCAATACAGGAGGCTTCGACCCCCTTTGTACAGACCCTTGATGATCAACTTCCCACCCTTTATAGAGACCCTCAATACAGAAGGTTCCGACCCCTTCATAATGTGAGCCTAAAAGTGCCAAACATTAACGTATATATTATTTTCTTTACTTTTCGATCCGACGAGAGCACGGTCTGGTACACTACATGTTATAATAGGAGTAGTTAGATGCTTAAAAAAAAAAAAATGACAACTTATACTATGAGACTTGGTGTACCGAGTTGAATTTTAGGCAAACTAAAAAATTTCTAAGTAACATGTGGGGAATCCTAAAAAGTGAACAATTGTAAAAGGTCTATCTCTCAACCTTTTTCTAAAATGTTACTAGACTTGGAAACCCCGCAGCTAGCTCTAACATATTGAACTATTTCGTAACGAAAACTTAGATGTAGCTCATGCCCAGCTGCTTGCAAGTAGAGATTGGCATGAAAATTGTGAAATCGAATTGAACCACGAAAATTTTTGTTGAAACAAAAATAAGTTAACTTAGGTTCAAGAATCGAACTGAACCGTTCATACCGGTTTTGTTTATGGTTTTCATGTTGGTGGAACTGCTTAGAACCAAACCGAACCGTGAATATTAATAATCAATTGGATTTTGAAATTTTTGTGAATTCTGACGGTTTGATCATGCTTCTCAACAAGAGTGCTTTTAGTCTTTCGTTTCTAGAATGTTAAATTAGTAAACCAAAATGGGTATGGTAAGCTAAATTTGTTAATTATGTGTTTGTGTTTTGTGAATTAATTATTATTGACATGATAACATTTATTAGCTTTGTAAAGTTTTGGTAGCCATTTAACTTCTAAATCTTCTTCTATTGTAGCTCATCATTCTTTTATGATTGGTCATGTTATTCATTGTGTGATTTAATTACTATCTTTTAGTATAAAAATCCTTTGACCTTTTTATGTAATCTAAATTGCAAGATTAAAATGATTTAGTACTTGGAGCCGTAAACAGGTATGAACCGAACCGAAACCGTCGTGAACTGAAACGTACAATTTTAATGTTAAATTTAAGCGGAATTGAAGGTACCGCACCGCGCCCACCCCTATGCACAAGTTGGGTATACGTTAGGGGTGGTATCATCTATATGGTAACATGTTCATTTGTATAATAAGAGTGGACGACGAAAAAGTTTAATCAAAGCGACGTACACATAAAACGTAACACGAAAGAAGGTTCTAGAAGCTTCCGGAAGCAGCTCACGCAAACATTGCCTGGCATTGGATGCTTGGGGGAATAAAAAGAAATTGAAAAGAATAGAAAGAAAATAGAAAATCGGTTGAACCGGTTGAACCGTTTGAAAGCGGACAAACGGTTGAGAGTGGATCTTCTGGACCTTTAATGGATGTGCTCACTTTGTGGTCCAATGATTAAGTGAAACGTATTTATGAACGTAGCTTTTTAAACTTTGTTGTAAAATTTAATACGTGTCAATATATAATTGGGCAGACAGAGAGGGCACACTCATTTTATGTGGAGAAGATCATACCTCTCCAAACAGTTTTCTCTCTTCTCTCTTCTCTCTTCCCTCTCCCCGCAAATCTCTCCTCTCTCTCTCTCTTGCATCCGAACTGTTTTCTCTCCCCTCTCCTCTCTCCTCTCTCCCCTCTCACGGGCCAGTCACACGCAATGCGCTACCTCCTCAACTTTCCAGCTTCTATATATACATATACATATATGTGACAGTGAGTGCGGTGTGCAGAGCTGAGAGCGAAGTGAAATATAGGCTACAGAGGGGAGAGAGAGAGCGCTATCAAGGAAGGGAGAGAGCAGCTTCACGTCTGGTAACCTCTCTTTTTACTGTTCCTTCCTCTGTTTAGATATGAAATACATTTCTGTTTTCTGTGTTTAACTCATTTCTAGAAATATGAAATACATTTCTGTTTTCTGTGTTTAACGCATTTCTAGAAACGACGCTCTTTGTACTATATATATTTATAGATCGAAGGAGACTTATGCTTCATGTAATTGCAGCATCATGGGGAAGATCCGAAAGCTCATGCATGGTGTACACTCGGGATGGAAACGTATGAGGGCTTGGAAGCCGCCGGGTTTATTGCCGGAATCTGGAAAATAACATCCCGAGTTGCATTCGTTAAAAACCTTCACCAAAACACCTAAGATGGGTCATAACTAGGGTTCGATCGATCTACCATGAAGGCTAGAGAGAGTCCTGAGGCGTATGGATTTCAGAGGTTGTATGGATTTCAGAGATAACGAGGGTCAGGAAGAATTGGGCAAGCAATGTTACAGCACAACATTCAATGAATATTTGGCAAAGACTTATCTAAAATAAGATTCTTGATCAGAATTCAATATCATGACAACAGATCACAAACACCAGAATTCAATATCATGACAACAGATCACAAACACCAAGAACATTAAATTGAGTGGCCTTGTTTTATGCAGAGAGAACCCTCACTTGGTGCGAGCTTCAACAGCCTGCAAGCTCTTTTCAGCTTCAACAACCTTCTTCACCGTTTTCTGCTCCTTCTTATCTGGGTGATAGCTGACTGCTTTTCCCTTCCAGAGACCAGCCTTCTTCAAAATTTGTGCAGCCCTGACATCCTCCTCTGTCTCTGCATAGAGGGGATTGCCATGGTTAAAGGTGGGAGCAATGTCCTCCTAGACCAAGATCATGGACTGACTGTTGATATCACTTTTGAATCGGTGGAATCTTCAGCAGAAACATCTATATCCTTGTAGAGAGGTGAAACTCTTTTCTGCGTGGCAATAGAATTCTGGGACTCGGAATCTGGAGAAGGCTTAGAATTGATTGTCGATGTCACCTCCAAATTGCTCAGGCTTGGGTCTGATCCTGGGAAAGAAGATTGATCTAACTGCTCAGCTTTCATCTTCGAATCAATCAACTCTTCCATACAAACGGCTATTTCCTTGGGAGATGAACCTTTCTTTGAAGAAGCAGTTTCTTTCTTCGTCGATGATGAACCTTTTTTCTTCATAACGTCAGAGTTATTAAGTTTCCAGGTTTGGGAATGTGGAACAGACCTCGATCCAGTTGTGGATATCACCTTTGAATTTCTCAGGCTTAAAGCCTGTTCTGGGAGAGAAGATGGCTCTGATTGCACACGCTGCACCTTCAAACTGGAGGAATCTTCCATAGAAATATCAATATCCTTGGAAGAGGATGGAACCTTTTCTGCAGAAACAATTTCCTTCTTCCTCAATGACAACTTTTTTCTCTGTGATGGCAGAATTGTCAAGCTTCTTGGTGCCGGAATCAGAAGGCTTTTGATTTGTAGCGGATATCTGTTTCCTCTCTGTTGCCGATTTTAGCATTGCGGCAGTTGCATTTTCTTCAGAAGCATTTCTCAGTCCATATTTGCACTAATCATGGCAGGAACCTGTTGGAGCTCTGAGATATCGGGACTGAATCCTTCTACCACCCTTTGGTTCCATTTCAAGTGGGATCCACGGAACAGAGTTCCTGCTGGTATCCTCAGCATTTGGTTCCATTTTCTGTGGGACCGCTGGCATAGAGTTCCTTCCGATACCACCACCATTAGGTTCTAATTCCTGTCGGATCACTCTGATAGAGTTCCTTCTAACATCACCACCATTAGGCTCCATTTCCAGTGGGATCACTGGGATAGAGGTCCTTTTGATATCAGCAGGAGGATCTACTTTCTCGATGGAGCTTCTTCTGAAATCACTGGCATTAGACTCTACTTCCTGTGGGCTCTCTATGATAGACTTGCTTCTGATATTACCACCCTCAAGCTCCTTTTTCTGTGGGATCTCTAGGATAGAGTTCTGTTTGATAGCACTGCCATCGGGTTCTATTTCCCGTGCGACAGTTGCAATAAAGTTCCTATCATCATCGCTGAGATCCATGGGATAGTGTTTCTCTCAGTAGAAGGAGAATCAACATTTCCAATAGAGCTCCTTCTGATGTCACCACCATTGGGCTCTATGTCCTGTGGAATCCCTACGACCAAATTACCTATGACCGAATTACCTCCAACATCACCACCCTTCGGATCCATTTCCTGTGGGATCACTGGGATAGAGCTCCTTCTGCTATCACTGCCATTGGGTTCTATGTCCTGTGGAACCCCTAGGACAGAGTTACCTCTGACATCACCACCCTTGAGATCCACTTCCGGTGGGATTTCAGGGATGGAATCCGTTCTGATATTACTGCCAACATCAACCCCATTGGACTCTGGTTCTTGTGGGATCGAATTATTTTTGCCCTTGTCACCACTAAGGTCCAGGACTTGTAGGATCACGGGGATGCCGATGTTCTCTACTTCCATTATGAAGAAGACGACATAGCAAACTGACAACCCTGTAAAGTATTATAATTTCCCAAGAAAGAGTGAGTGAGATAACGCTCACAATAGTTCCAGAAAACAAAAAAAATGCAGATTTCTTATTGTATCATGAACAGAAACGAAAGCTTGCAAAAGAATTTCGAGATCACATTGTTATCCAAATAAATTCACTGGTTCTCAAAGCCTTAACATTTATGGTGAGCCTTTTTAAACTTTTGACAGTCCCTAATTCTTTCCTTATATCTTTTCCCATTCTTGGATTAGGGTTTTATCCTTTTTAGTACTCCTAAGAACTTGTCACTGCCACATCGCCTAAAATTTATCGAACACCAGATAATCGAACATTCAACCTCCTAATTCAGATGGGATGCCCTTCAGATACCTCATGCATCAACTTGTGACATTCTACGATCAACGTACCATTTGTGCACCCAAATTCTAAGTATGTAAAATCCTAGTTGCTACAAAATGCTCAAGAAGATTAATTCAACCTTCATTGCACAAAAT